TTCTTGGGAACGAGCAACCCAGAGAAACTAGAGATTGTCTCTCCTTAAGGAACAGGTTTATCTACTATTCATTATAAAATGTTGAATCTCCCAAGCTCAGGGTTCTTTGCCTGTGACACCACCCACTGCATGTGTAGGCATCCTTCTAGGCCTATTCTGCATCACTTGGGGGGCATGGGAAAATGGTACAAATATCATGCTCACATTACTTCCTGTACTACAAATAATAAATAATAAAGTTCTTTGCCTCTTATCCAGGAATCTTATGTCTTCTGCCAGTATCCATGAAAAAATAGTAGGTTAACTTGTTAAATGTTTGCAAGTAGGATAAAATTCTAGACCATAGACGACTATGACAGTTTTGGTAAAAAGGATGGGATCCTGACATGTGTGGCTTTCTAGAAGAGAAAGTGCTTGGGCCAGGTGAGGGGATGCAAGAAGATAAGGGCTGATCAGCACAATGGGCTGAATTGATAGCTGTCATCTTTGCCCTAGACAATTCCTAGAGATGGGATATGTTATATTTTTACTGACTCTCTGGCTCTTGTCAATGGCCTAGACTTATGGTCTGTCTCTTGGAAAACTACCGACTGTCAGATTAAAGACACTCTTTGGGGCCACAAACTAGTAATTAATTACAGCTATTAATTGAACTGTCTGGGTCACTCATGTAGATACCTACAGTGGGGACTCATTGATGAGACCAACTGAAGTCAAGCTGCAGATGGAGCCTGTACCACTGATTGTCACCATTGTTGCCTGAATCCATCGTCATAGCACATGTGGCATTACACCCACCATTGTAGCCTGGGCACAAAGTAAAACACTTATGTTTCTGATGCACAGGCTACTGCTGCATGTCAGAATTGTGACTCCTGTCATAGGTCCTGTGTGTCTAGCCATGAGTGAGGCAACATAGCACAGGGCATGAACTCCACCCTCTCCTGGCCACTTGGCTATATGTTCCCTCTGGAGGTTACCAGTAGTGCCTCGCCACTGTTAACATTTCTGAAGGTTACAGTGTTGCTGTTAGTCAACTCCACCCTATTTTGAACCTGAAACTATTCTGTCTCATATTTTTGTTTTTCTTGACTACATGCAGTCTGACAGTGGAGCAACTTTTACTGCAGAAGCCACTCAACAGTGGGGTGATAGCCACGGTATTTATTTGGACCTTCCACTCTTCCATCCACAGGCGTGTAGTAGTGTCGAATGTTGAAACAGCCTATTCAAAAAATGTACTCAGAAGACTTCTGACTCTACCTCTCTTACCTTGTCTTGATCAACACACCTTAGTAAGGCAATTTGGTCACTGAATGTTGTTGTCCCTAGAAAGCAATCACTTCCTCTTGACTGCTGTGTTAGTATTTTCCAAAGAAACAGTAAATAAGATATGTGTTTGTATAAAGAGATGTATTATAAGGAATGGGAACACATGAT